TGAGGTAAAATTGGCCACTTTAAGCAATCATATTGGTACAGGCCTGTAATTCCAGCACCCTGGGAGGCTGAGGCAGGAGAAGCCTAGTTTTGAGCCTTGGCAATTTAGTGATTTACCAATAAAAAAAAAATTTTTTTTTAAGTAAAAAGAAAGTATGTAGCTCCATGCAGAGTCCCTGGGTCAATCCCAGCACCACAAAATGAACAAGACTGGCCATTTTGCTCTTTTGAGAGAGTATATGTGTCTTGCTATGTAGCCCAGGTGACCTTAAATTTACTCATGTAGCCCAGGTTGGCCTCAAACTCATGGGCTGGAATTACAGGTGTGCACCAGCACGCCTGGCTGAGATTTGAGATTTGCCACTTCAAAAGGTGCAAATCAGTAACATTCAGTGCAGCCTGTCACTGCTGTCTAGCTGTAGAGGATTTCTGTCACCTCAGACAGAAAGTCCCCACGCCTGACAAGCAGCTGCCTCTCCTTTCCAACATAGAAATAGATCTCAGGACAGTTCATCTATATGGTGGTGCTTCCTTTCTTTTTTTACCCCCAATACTGGGGACTGAAGGGGGCTAGGGATTTAGCTCAATGTGCCTGGCAAGCGTGAGGTCCTGAGTTCGATTCTTGATACCCACAAAAAATATATGGAGTACTGAACCCAGTGCCTTACAACCCTGACTCAACTTCTAGAGTGCTGAGATGACAGTTTGTGCCACAGGGCCCAGCTTCATGGCCCTCCCACCCACCCGACTTTCTTGGTGAGGCTGAAACCCAAGGCCTCCTGCACAATGAGCGGCGCTGCCCCACTGAGCTGCACCCCAGCACCTCCTTCCCCTTTCGGGCTGAAGGGCCTTCCACCTCCCATCCCCTGGTGGGCTGAGGGCCTCTGGGTTGCTTTCCACCTTCGGGTTGTGCTGACTCCTGCTGGCACAGTGCGCAGAGGCCTGCATCTGTTTCAAGCGTGTCTCTGGTGCTCTGCAGTGGCATCGCGGGCCCTGGTAAAACCCACCCCCTGCGGCGGCCGCTGTGTGCAGCGAGTGAGGATGCACCGGGCCAGCACCACTCTGCTTCTTTTTCCATTCCTGGCCATCATAGTGGGTGTTGGATGGCGGCTTGCTGGTTGGCTTTTCATTTCCCTGGCAGCAGTGAGGCTGGGCCTCCGTCACCGCGCTTACTGGCCCTTTGTACATCTTTGGGAAAAAACGTTCACTCAAGTTCTTCACCAATGTTTGCCGTTGTTCCCTTTTTTGAGGGGATAGTACTGGATTGAACCCAAGGCCTTCACACTGAGCTACTTTCCCAGCTATTTGTATATTTAGTTGTTTGTTTTGTCTTTGAGACAAGGTCTTGCAGTGTAGTGCAGGCTGGCCCCAAACTCACTGTGTAGCCTGGGCTGGGCTCCTACTCACAGCAATCTTCCTGCCTCAGCCCCCCAAGAGTTGAATTACAGGCTGCAGGCCCTCTTCTCTTTCATGCCATCTGACCTTCACGAGCCCGGCCCACAGACTAATTCCCTATGTATTCCTTTCTTCCTTGGTGTTCATCTACCGTGTTGTGCTGGTCACCGCTGTGCCCCCAGCACTGACCAGCACAGGACCGGGACAGCAGGATTCAGGCAGCCTCTGGACTAGCCCTCTGCGCCCCCCTCTGTGTCTGCGTCTTAGTCACTGTCACTGGACCCCGCCCCTCGGGTTCTCCCCACACCCCAGCCCATTCCATTCAGCCCTGCAATCCTGGGTGCCATAGGGTGGGTCACGGGGGGGGGTTGCAGAGCAGCTCCTTGGGGAGCCCGGGGCTGGGTTCCCCAGACCAACCTGCTCGCGCACCCTTCCTCCGCCCTCAGCCCCTGGCCGCCGGGGCCCTGCGGCGCTGGTTTCCGAGATCTTCGAGCAGCACCTGGGAGGACACATCCTGCAGGTGAGGCCCGTCGTTGCTCTCCACTGCCGCCTGGTGGTCCCTAGCGGAACCGCGTCCTCTTGCGCCCCAGTGGATCCCAAAGCGAACGATCGAGCGCCCCCTGCGGTCTGCCAGCCCCGGTTCACTGCACCCCTAGGGGAGAGAGACCCAGACTTCAGACCCGGTCTTCTGCTGGGGGTGGAATCCTCCCGACTCCTGCTCCGTTTTCCTCCCCGACTGCAGTCCCTGGACGGCTTCGTGTTTGCCTTGAACCAGGAAGGAAAATTTCTGTACATCTCTGAAACCGTTTCCATCTACCTGGGTCTGTCACAGGTAAGGTCCCCAGTGGGCTGCTGTTCCTCATACCCACCCAGCTGGTGTATGCCTTGCTCTCTCCTGATACCCCCATCCCAGCATAGAAGAAAAAAAATGAATTAGATATATGATTCACGGGGCTGGGGAGATGGCTCAGTAGGATAAGCGCTTGACCGGCAAACGCAAGGATCTGAGTTCAATCCCCGGTTCTGCCAATATATATACATATATCTGTCTCCCTCCCTCCATCCTTCCCTCCCGGGGCCAGATCTCCAGTCTTCCTCC